GAAAGAACTCCCGGTACCCTTTGAATAGGATGTTGGGTGTACTCCAGAGCCGGTCTGGACGACGTGGAGAAGAGGAAATTCTTACTTCTACATGTCGAAGTCATGTAGATGTAATTTTTCATACAGCTAAGTTAAGGCACGTCTCTATATTATGGTTCCATCTGTTGTATAGTAATCCAGTCAGTCAAGGGTTTACAATGCAAACAATTGTAATATTCCCACCGCAAAAGCTCGGAATTATGACCTTACTTACTTACTCATGGAGCTGAGCCCTTCTTGAGGAGCCGCCAATTCTGCAGCTACTCAAGAATTTCCCAGCATTTTATGGAACCCGATGGTTCATCGCCGTCTTCACAAGAGTCCTCCACTGGTCCCTATCCTGAGCCAGATTATCCAATCCATACCATCCCATTCTATCTCTCTAAGATCCTTTCTAATATTGCTTTGGTCTTCCCTGTGGTCTCTTTCCTTCTGGCTTTCCCACCAATATCCTATACGCATTCCTCGTCTCCCCCATTCGTGCTACATGACCTGCCCACCTCATCCTCCTTGACTTGATCATTCTAATTATACTTATAATGACCATTCACCAATAAACATTTACCCTTACAATGACACATGAATGAGAACAGCAAAATGTTCTCAAAACAGTGAGACTTTTTCCGATTTATTTAGAAGTGAATATTACATCAATCAATTTCATATACCATTACAAGAAGATGATAATATATGTAGAAAATAAGTTCTTATTATAATAGACATTAGGCTACTTAGCCCACTGGTCAATCTCTACACAATGTACAAGGAAACCCATTTGTACACTCCTATAAAATTGCCGTATAACAACTCCATAATTTTATACGCATGTCATGGTCCGAACCGAGGACCATAGATATAAAGATAAAAGCCCATCTTCACGTCTCATCTGTCTCGTATACAATAATTACTTTGTATTATGTATATTCTGTTTCATTGTGACTCTGAACCTCTTAACTTGTGACATTTATAGTACACTCAATAATAAAACCCCGTAACCCCGGACAAAACTTTTGTACGTAGGCCTGGATTCATGAGAAAAATCTCAGCTCTATTATAATAAATAAATACAGTGTTAATAACTTCACATATGACTGCATATAAAGCAACAGACTTGAAAATACATGCCATTCTTTTCAAGAGCTTTATACTACTTTTTCTTCTAAACTTATTTTTGACATTTGACCTAACTGAGCTTTATCCCTCCTACTGGTAAGTTTTTCTCCTGCTCTCTACCATCATCCTAATACGTACTCATGCAGTTGAGCATAAAAGAATTTGAGAGCATAAGAGTTAAGACTCTTGATTTTTTTAGTAAAAAACAATAGATTTGTGTATATTATGGACATGCTACACAAAGAGAATTTCCTGTCCATTCTCGCTACGCCATCCAACTTCAAGCACATCCTTCAAGTGTGATAAATACATCACTTACTAGTACGTAAATTAATTTCATAGACTGTTATTACAAATTCTGAAAACTTGGGATTTAAGCGAAACAACCATTAAGATTAATATTTTATGCAGATTTGAAGACTTTTCCAGAACAGATGTGTTACTATGCGAATAGAGATCCTTATAAATAAACATATGTAGTAGATAAGGTATATAAATATATATAAAAGTATGCAATCTACACAACAATATTCTTCATTTGAAACAAAGTAGATACTTGTATTATCGTATCAACATTTGTCTTTATTGACGGTCAATAAAGACAAATGTTGATACTTTATTATAAATGCAGAATATTGTTGTATACTGCATACATTTATATACATTTATATACCTTCTTTATAACACACAACAGGATGCATACTATTAAGATAATGTAGTAACCCTATATTAATAATTTATTGCTAAACGTAGAGATACTACCGTGCCAAAGTGTGTAGAAAGATATATGATATCTCATATCTCGGCAGCAGAAACAGACGAGTTGAGCCTATCGTACCATTTTCGACTTTACCCACCGGGAAATTAATGCAGGAGACCTATTCAACAGAGTCAGTTTGCCTGTGTCGGGGATAGAACCCCAGCTGTTCAGACTAAGCTGCCTCGATCAATAATTAATTAGAATTATTTTAATAAGAGAAACGACAAGGATTTTGTTTTCTTTCTGTGTGGAACTCATGATGAAATGGGTTATGTACAATAGACGGCCGAGAGATTTTTGCAGCGAAGATAATTCATTACATTTGAGAGGATTTATAACTATGCTCTGAGGAAACAAAAACAGAACAAGTAAATGGGATGGACATGGACTTGGTGTACATCGAGCGTATGTAAGAAAAGTTTTCGATTTAATTCGGATTGTTTTGAAAAAAAAATTATACCCAGGTATGCTGACTCCACAATTACCTCAATATTAAATAAGTGTCTTTGAAATACAGAATTGATTAGTATTTGCTGTATTTAAAGATGCTTCATCAACTAAGTTCTTCAATCTTTAAAACCCAGTGGTTTTACCACTTGCTTTAACATAATAAAATTCTGCATTCTGCGCGAAGAGTGTAGGTCTGTGTTTCGAATTGTTCTCAAAATAAATATCGGTTGTTTCTCTTAACAGCATTAACCGGAGATATAATGTGCTTCCTGTTAGGTACGAATTAAATTTTTCGCTTGTTTCCGTTTATTGAAAAAAACGGAAGTAAGCTTATGCGATCTGTATGCTGTTGTTATGTCTTTATGTCTGCAAATCCCCCCTCTTAAATTTTAAATTTCTGGACCAGTCTTTATGAAATTTAACATGTTTATTATGGCACTTGAACCAATAAACTGCCTACTTCATAAATCCCTCTCATCAGTCTGTGTGTTATTCAAAGGCTAGGTAAAACGTACCCCTTTTAATCGTTTCTTGCAACCTGTTGTGTGTTTAATCAAGAGTGGAGTGAATTTACCGACTACACAACACGTTTTTTATTATTATATTATCACTACATGTTTCGACCTTAAAAGGTCATCTTCAGGTGTATGAAGACGGCTGTATAATTAATATCACGCGGTCACATTCACTTTTCACTCATTCGACCTTGTATCTTTTCCAGACTCGTGCTCACTAATATGTCGAGTTCTTTATAAAACACAGGTTAAAATTATTATTATTCTAATTTATTTGTTAAAAGTTAAAAATTCGTGAATCGAGGTTCAATTCATGTCACTGGTTACTGAAAAACAAGTGAAAGTGTAAGTGCGATTTGTAATATTTTAGAATGTGGCCTTATTGGCCTTCAAGATGTAGAGAGAGGCAGCAGATTCTCCAGAAAGTTCGGTCAGAATCCACA